AAAAAAACGTTGCCCCACACTAGGATTTTCTCCTGTGTCGTGGGTGCGTTTACAAACATACAAGTTCACATACACAATGACACCCAGACCCGAAACAACAATTTGTGGATCACACAAAGTGTTGTTCCGTGCGGGAATCGAACCCGCGACACGTTGCACGGCAGCCGGTTGCCCAGCCACCGCACCAACCGTGCAGTCAAATTATAATTATGTAATTTCTTAAAAGCATACAATTTAATAAAACAATGGCTACTGTCTTTGTTTCGACTCAACCTTTACTTCACCTTCATACTAGAGGTAAATAATTGCATCGGCTCTGAGGTTAAGAAGCCCGCTTCTTATGCATGAGCATGCAGATTCGAAACCTACCAACGGCTAGTACCAATGTACTTTCTAAGATTATTTAGACACCACTGACTAACAGTGAAGGAAAACATCGTGAGGTAACCCGCAGCTGTAGCCAAATGCCATTTAGCGCTGGTCTACATGTAGAATAGAAAACAAAATTATATAGAATTGACGTAAATTTTGACACGTGTCAGTGTCATCCCCATACATTTAGTTTTCTACTCACTCTGTAGACAAGCGCTAAAGTGGCGTTTGGCTAAAGGCCCTGGGCTTATAATTTCTAATTATAAGTTTGAAATCGGCAACCCACATTGAGCAAGCGTGGTGATTAATTTTCAAACCTTTTCCGTATAAGAAGAGGCCTTTGGTCAGCAGTGGGGACATATAGGCTGTTGATGTATCTATGTATATTGTATAAGCAATAAATAACTTGATTGACTGCCTCGTTGGCCGAGTGGTCGCAAGTGCGACTGTCGGGCAAAGGGTCTCGAACTCGATATCTGTGTCGGGCAAAGTATTACTGGGTTTTTCCAAAAAATCTCAGTGGTAGCACGGAGTCTGGAATTGTGCCCGGTATATGGCAATAGGCTCACCCCCAATTACATGGGACTGATAACATAAATAGTGAAAAGTAGGTGTTACATTGTACAGTGGCATTAAGTGCCGTAATGTACACCTCTGCCTACCTTTTCGGGTATAAAAGGCGCGAACTTGGTGGCCTGAATGTACAATATCTTTTATAATATAGAGTTTGTTTAAACGCGCTATACTCCAGAACTCCTGGCCCGATTTGAAAAAATATTTTTGTGTTCGATAGTGAATTTATCGAGAAATAAAACTATAAAACGCTTAGATCATTAGGAGCTGAGCACAGTGGCTAAAACTACGCGAGGGTGGTATAATGTGTACCTCTGCCTACCCCTTCGGGGATACAAGGCGTGATGTTATGTTATGTAGATAGTTCGTTTATCGATAGGTAGGTATAGATTTATAGGTAGGTAGGTGCGGTAGGCTAGGCTGTAAAACATCACGCTATGATGAGTAGGAGCCGAGCAGAGTGGATGAAACCGCACGCAGTAGCAAATTTTCCGTACCTAATGTCACATTATGTTTACATACACACTCAAGGTCGAGCAAAAAAGTAATATATGAGACAGTCCTTACTAACGAATATTTATGGACACTCTACTAACCTTTAAGTTTTGCCATCGTATAATAATATGGCTACCCTATTTGCATATCTTGGCACGCTATGGCTTACGTTGACGACAATGTTGGCAATGTGGCCACGAACATGATATAAAGGCATAAAATATTTGTCACCAACATATTTTTGTTACGTTTCCTTTGGGGGGGGGGGGATCACTGGAGGTGCCATTGAGCAAGCGTGGTGATTAATGCTCTAACCTTCTCCGTGTGAGAATTGCTCAATGCCGGTTGGCGATTCCAAACTTATAATTACAAATTGTAAGCCTAGGTTTTCTCACGATGTTTTCCTTCACCGTTTGTCAGTGGTGTCTAGATAATCTTAGAAAGTACATATAACTCGGAAAAGGTCACATTGGTACTTGCCGTTGGTAGGTTACGAAACCGCACCCTCTTGTTTGACAAACGTCTTAAACCTCCGGGCTACCACGACCTTATGTTTAGTACCTTATTCTTTATCTTGGTATTTGATCAATGTATGTTACGAGATTTCGACTATGTTATGTCATAAATTATCGAGGCAGGCTTACTGCTGGAACATTTGAACTATTTACAGTTCCGTACAGCCTAGCTGCTTTATGCAACTTGAGTCATTTCGTCAGAAGGCAATTAATTCTTTCACATCACAATGGACCATTTTATTATATGATTTTTGTGTCTGGAGATGACTTGGGACCAAAGAAATGGAGCCGCTAGCGTTTTTATCTTTTCATTTTATCGAACCCTGTATCTATTCTATCTATATAAATAAAAAAAAATTCTGTTCGTTAATCTCACTAAAACTTGAAAACGACTGAACCGATTTGGCTAGTTTTGATCTTAAAATGTTCGTGGACTTAAAAGGTGAGATTTTTTTATCAAATTCAAATTCAAATTCAAATTCAAATTCAAATTCAAATTCAAATTCAAATTCAAATTCAAATTCAAATTCAAATTCAAATTCAAATTCAAATTCATTTAATCGTTTGCAAACATGGGTACATAATATAGGTATTAACAAAATATACAGTTTCTCCATATTTTGCCTTCACTTGGCATGCAAAGATATGTTATAAATAAATTATATAGTAAAATTAGGTACATTAAGTTTTAAATTGCAATGTTGTTAAATTGAATGTCAAATATCAGATTTTTCTTATGGCATAAGCCGGTAAACGAGCAGACGGATCACCTGATGGTAAGCAATCAGCGTCGCTAATGGACACACGGAACACCAGAGGCGTTACAAGTGCGTTACCGGCCTTTTGGGGATTAGGAGTTTGAGGATCGTTGGGGTTTCAGGAATTGGGGTGATTGGGGAAAGAGAGGGTAATTGGGCCTCCGGTAACCTCACTCACATGACGAAATACAACGCAAGCGTTGCTTTACGTCGGTTTTCAGTAAGGCCGTGGTATCACTCCGGTCGAGCCGGCCGAAGCATGGCTCTCCCACACTTTATAAACAAATATTTTATAAACAAATGAAAAAGAAGATGCGCTAGTGGCTCCGTTTCTTTGCTCGCAGTGTGAAAAGTAATATAGAAATGATGAGACATTTCTATAAAATCCAATATATATAAAAAAGTCGTGTTATTTATAACTCAAAAACAGCTAAATCGATTTCGATAAAAATTGCGTGGCAGATAGCTTAGAACCAGGAGACGATCATAGGACACTTTTTAACCAAGAATTTTTCAAAAATCCTACGGGTACGGGAAAATACGGGATTTCGTATAGCAACTCGCGAGCAGAAGCTAGTAGGTGATAAACATTAGATTAAATTGCGTTGAAAGACTATCACAGCAAATTAATTCTATAATTAATAATATAAGTGTAATAACTTCGCAGCTGCGTAGACATTTCGTAGCAAATCCGACGCTACGCAGTGATTGCGTAGACATTTCGTAGTCTCATTTGAACATTACGTAGCTACGATGTAGGCCTTATATAGTCACTGCGTAACCTTTCCGTAGTCACTTCGATGCTGCGTAGATATTGCGTTGCTAGTTACTACGGCGTAGTAGCTACACAGATATTTTGTAGTCACTTAGGTACTGCATAGATCAATACATAGTATAAAACAAAGTCGCTTTCGCTGTATGTCCGTATGTATGCTTAGATCTTTAAAACTACGCAACGGGTTTTGATGCGGTTTTTTTTAATAGATAGAGTGATTCTTAAGGAAGGTTTGTATGTATAATACATGCATATTGCACCCGTGCGAAGCCGGGGCGGGTCACTAGTATTAGATATATTGAAGTCACCTAAACTCTGCGTAAACATTATGAGGTTACGGCGTAGACGCCAAGACATTACGTAGAATGTGTGCATAATTACAACGTAGGTAGATAAATAGGTAGATATGAATAAAGTAGACATAGTAAACTGTAATTCAGTAAAATTACACAATATCGCAAGTTTATTAGAGAGCGCTGTTTCCCAGTCCCTATTAAACGTATATGAATGAGACCGTCCGTAGAGGGCGCCCTAGACTCTATACGCATATATCGATCAGGTTTGTGATATATTGAAAAAGGGCCAAATTAAAAGTACCCTTAACCGACGAGCATGCATGAAAAGACTGATGACTGTTGATGAAGCGAAAGAGGTATGCAAGAACCGTTTGAAATGATGACAGGGTATGAAAATTAAAAATCTATTTAGTCCGTCAGTTAGGTAATGAAAAAATATTAGACACGTATTTTTTTATTTTGTCGTATAATAAAACAATACTTAGATAAAACGAATCAAAGTTTAGAAGTGGGGGCTAAAACGTCATTTCTACGTAGCTATAAAATGTACATAGAAGTGACGTCACGCGACATTCAAAATCAATATATCGTCGAAACTATTCTTTTCTGTAAGAAAATCAAAAATACGTGTCTAATGTTTGAAAATAATCTACCTAACGGATATTAGAATAAAAATTAGGCATCTACCCTATTGGCGTTCCATAGTCGCTGCCTATGGGAGACAGGCAAAAGGTTATTTATTTGTATGTTCAACTAAAGACTATTCTCTCTAATATCTCATTGTATCATTGCAGCCCGACCGTGTTCACGGCAGGCGGAATGCGCGGGCATCAGCAGCAGTTCCTGTGTACGCACGCACTATGATCCAATCACTCGATGCCTGTGTGGAGACAACCAGCCGCCTGTCAACGGACAATGTGACTCGCAGACTAAAGGTAAGTTACATATTGATTTACTCAAGTATATACAATGAAACTTGGTTAAGTGGGACCTGGATAAGTGAGAATCCTCCATAACTGGAACTCATGCTGAAGTCCCAACACTTTGGCACTGAATTACCTCTGTTAGTGGGACGAGGTAAACCTCTATATCTGGGATTTGTTCTTTCGATTTATCATCATAGTTACCTCTATATCTGAGACAGCGAGTAAATTTTATATGCATAAACCTCTGTAACTGAGATAACATTGTTTGTTTACTCATTCTTATTCTACCCACAAATTCCACACGTAATTGCAAGTCCACCTCTATTAATGGAACCCTCTGTAAATGAGACAGATATTTATTTATACCTGTATATCTGAGACACTAGGTAAGTGGAATACCTCTATAAGTGAAACGACATTGCAGGTCCCTTGATTTTTCACTTAACCAGGTTTCACTGTATTATGGTAACAAAAGGAAGCTATATATGTATTTAACTCGGAAAAAGTCACATTGATAATAACTCGAACCCTTAACCTAAATGTACATTTGCATACCAATTAAGGTAGATTGTTTTTATGACATAAGCCGGTAAACGAACAGACGGATCACCTGATGTTAAGCAATCGGCGTCACCGATGGACACCTGGAACACCAGAGGCGTTACAAGTGCGTTACCGGCCTTTTGGGGATTAGGAGTTTGAGGATCGTTGGGAATTCAGGAATTGGGGAGATTGGGGAAGGGGAGGGTAATTGGGCCTCCGGTAACCTCACTCACACGACGAAATACAACGCAAGCGTTGCTTCACGTCAGTTTTCTGCTCGGCCGTGGTATCACTCCGGTCGAGCCGGCCCATTCGTGCCGAAGCATGGCTCTCCCACACTCCAAAACATATGGTAACAAAAGGAAGCTATACATGTATTTAACTCGGAAAAAGTCACATTGATACTTGGCGGAACCTAAGACCTAGAACCTAACCTAACCTCATATTTATAACCCTTAACCTAAATGTATATTTGCATGCCAATTAAGGTAGAATGATTACCGGAGGCCCAATTACCCTCCAGTTCCCCAATCTCCCCAATTCTTGAATCCCCAACGATACTCGAACTCCTAATCCCCAATAGGCCGGTAATGCACTTGTAACGCCTCTGGTGTTTTAAGTATCCGTGGACGAAGCCGATTGCTTACCATCAGGTGATCCGTCTGCTCGTTTACCGGCTTATAGCATAAAAAAATGTACAAGGAACCTTAAAATTTTGTAACACCAATTAATTTGTACCTATATTCATAGCAAATTAATAATCTATTCTATTAATAGAGGTATATGAGAAGCAGGCATCTTAAACCCCCGAATATCTTAAACATTGATAAATAATAATATTACTATAATATCAACTTTTTATGGAGGCAGAGGTGTCCATTACGGCACTTATTGCCACTGTACAATGTAACACCCACTTTTCACTATTTATGTTATGAGTCCCATGTAATAGGAGATGAGCCTATTGCCATATACCGGGCACAATTCATTCGGTGCTACTACTAAGAATAAAAAAGTATCCAGTTATACTTTGCACGACCCAGCAATCGAGACCCAGTAGGCGCACTTGCAACCACTCGACCAACGAGGCGTTATATTATTATGTATACTCTAAATACATCTCTGCCTAGCCCTACTTGGTTTAAGAGTTAACCTTTCATGTCAACCAGTAATAAAGCATTTGAAACATATAATGAATTACGAATCCGAGCGCACATTGAGCACTTTTTAAGTAAAGATTACATCTATAATTCTTGTTTGACACGAGAACTTGGGAAGCCGAAATGCTTACAATATCACACGAAATATTATTATTTTTAGGGTTCTCTAGTCAAGGGTACATTTAATACCCTTTTTGTCAATCTATACTAATATTAGCTTTTACCCGCGGCTTCACTCGCGTCACAAAAGGATAAAAGTAGCCTATGTGACATATACCAATACACACAGCGCCATCTATACCAATATTTATGTTTTCCCTCGGGAATATAAAATTTTTCCGAAATAAAAAGTACCCTATTATTTAATCCGGACCTCTAACATTACGTCTGCAAAAATTCAAAGCAATCGGTTTAGTAGTTATGGCGTGAAAGCGGAACAAACAAATAAACAAACTTACTTTACGATTTATAATATTAGTAAGGATTATAAAGCTGAAGAGTTTGTTTGTTTGTTTGAACGAATCTCCAAAACTACTGGTTCTATTTGAAAAATTCTTTCCGTGTTGTATAGCCCATTTATCGAGGAAGGCTATAGGCTATAAAATATCACGCTACGATTAATAGGCGCCGGGTAGAGCGAGTAAAACCGCGCGGAAGTAGCTAGTAGACTATAAAGCAGCACTTTTTAAAAAAGCATACATATCTCACGCCCTATTACATGGGACTCGTAACATAAATAGTGAAAAGTGAGTGTTACATTGTACAGTGGCATTAAGTGCCGTAATGTGCACCTCTGCCTACCCCTTCGAGGATAAAAAGGCGTGATGTTATGTTATGTTTTTAAAAAAGAACTGCTAGAGAGTGGAATTCTTTGTCAGAGTCTGTATTTCCTGAAGGGTATATATAACCTAAGTGTCTTCAAGGCTCGCGTGAATAGGTTACTTATGGGACGACGTGCTCCATCGTAGACCGCATCATTGCTTACCACCAGGCGAGATAGTGGTCAGACGTCGGCCCATCAAATATTAAAAAAACAACTAAATGAGGCCGTCATTTCCTAACTGACTACTCTGAGAAGAAATGCCGAAACAAACTCAGAGGTCCGTCTCTTTAAAACTCCAGACAAATACAAAAAATAAAATGTAAGTGTGAGAACCGTGCAAGTCCGTTCAACAGCTGTAGCCAAATGCCATTTAGCGCTTGTCTACATGTAGAATAGAAAATCATGTCATCCCTATATATTTTGATTCCTACTCTCTCTGTAGACAAGCGCTAAAGTGGCGTTTGGATAAAGGCACTGTAGTGGCCTTACTTGGAGAGCTATTACTGTGTGGCAACACATGTCACTCGTCAAATGACAACATGACAGTTCACGCACATAGAACATCGATGACAACAAAATCAACGGATGACGTCACAAAATCGTACATCGCATATGTGAAGTTTACATGCGAATTAACACGGATAGAAAATCCCAACGAACAACTGTTGGGCAGAAAGCCCGCCAGGCACGAACACCTCGCCTGGTCGGAGGATTCTCCTACTCCGATCTTAGGGAACTATACTCTCTGTTCCCTATAGAGTGATGATTCTCGATTCGAAATCAAACTCTCTGTCTGATCCACAAATTGTTGTTCCGGGTCTGGGTGTCATTGTGTATGTGAACTTGTATGTTTGTAAACTCTCCCACGACACAGGAGAAAATCTTAGTGTGGGGGTAACGTATACATATATCCATCGCGCCATCCGGCCCGCCGGTATCGGCCTTTTGGGTATTAGGAATTTGAGGATTGTGAGGAATTCGGGGATTGGGGCGGTTGGGGTGGAAGTAATTGGGCATCCGAGAACCTCACTCACATGACAAACTATAACGCAAGTGTTGTTTCACTCCGGTCGAGCCGGCCCATTCGTGCCGAGGCATTGGCTCTCCCACTATAACTTCAGAACTCACCATCTTTCTATTAATAACTATTTTCAAATCGTAACTGGATATAACCGCTTTTAACATTACACTACCAAGGAACCCTTGACTTAAAACGTACTTGACCACATTTTTATAAATTGCCACTTTAATGCCATAGTGTCAAGGTTTACATTTCCTTGCGGCGGCGGCTTGCGGTATCTACACTCAAACTATAACAGTTTGAGTGTAGATAAGAAATACTTATATAGGTTTGTAAGTACCTATTATAGTGGTTAAAAGAGGTTTTATAGGGGACGGTTTAGTTCGTTTTTGTTATACAGAAATATTTATTCTAGTTATACTAGCTGACGAAACCTACAACAGCAAGCACCAATGTGACTTTTCCGAGTAATATGTAGTTTCTAAGATTATTTAGACACCACTGACAAACGGTGAAAGAAAACATCGTGAGGAAACCTGGACTTATAATTCCTAATTATCAGTTTGAATTCGTCAACCTGCATAGAGCAAGCGTTTTTTTTACACTTTATAGGTCGACGTTTGACCACCATCTCGCCTGATGGTAAGCGATGATGTGGCCGACGATGGAGCACGCCTACCTATGAGCAACCTGTTCACTCGGGACTTGAAGACACCCAAGTCATATTTGACGGGAAACACAGCCTCTGGCAAGGAATTCCATTCCATAGCGGTTCGCATGAGGAAGCTTGACGCGAAACGCTTCGTGCGAATGGGTGGAATGTCCACCATATAAGGGTGGCGCCCCGCCGTTCGTCTGGTGGTACAGTGATGAAATGGACTAGGGGGAATAAGTTTGTGCAATTCCCACGCACACTCACCGAAATGTATCCGATAGAAGACTGAAAGGCTTGCGATTTTGCGCCTGTGTTCAAGGCTTTGTAGCCGAGCCTCCACAAGCGAATCGAAATTATTAATCGTGGTGATTAATACTCAAACCTTATCCATGCGAGAAGAGGTTTTGCTCAGCAGTGGGCATTTATAGGCTGTTGATGACAATAATGTTATTTGCAATTGATATTTAAATCCATTCTCAGCTCTCTACCACGTCTGCGCGAACAGCGACGAGTGCAACGACGGGCTGATCTGCGGGACCCCAAACATCACCGGCACGACCCCGCTACATCTCAGAGTGCACCCTCCGTCAGAGAAGATCTGTCTCTGCGATGCGGACTCTGGGTTTACAGAGAAAGAACACGCTTGCAACGGTAAGCAAGTACATTGTAATAGTTAATTATTATGTTTCTCGACTTACTCACGTAACTGTTATCTAGCTAGAGGCTCGTATTCATGAGCAGCATTCCGCGACCAGCGACGCGGCCACTCTCGCGCTGTTACTCAGCCTCTAGCATGGCTTGAAACTAGTCGAGGTCCTCGTCAAATTATTACATGAGTAAATCGAAAATATGATAATTCATTTAGTATGTTTCACGAAAGTTATAATACATTATATAGTTTATTTTAAGCTAAAAACGTTACCCCACACTAGGGTTGTCTCCTGTGTCGTGGGTGCGTTTACAAACATACAAGTTCACATACACATGACACCCAGACCCCGGAACAATAATCTGTGGATCACACAGAGTTGTTAGATGCGAGTATCCGTAGTTTACTGGCTATAAACCCGCGATTTTGCCCGCGTATTCCTGTATTATCCCATAGAAGCATTTAAACTGTCAAACACCAAGCGGTCACCGGTGACCGCAACCTATTGTTCTATAATTGTGTCTACAAAACCGGTACTCGACGAGTTAATCGGGATGTAAAGTATTCTATCATCTAAGTCAGCCCATACCACAACAAATTTCATCAAAATCTGTTCACGAGTTTCAGCGTAATTGACGCACAAACATCTTAATAAAGAAACTTTCATATTTATAATATCAGTGTGATGTCGGGCAGCTAGGTGTCTCGCTTGTGGACTCTTTTAAAGATTTCTGTGTCAATATGTAACATGACATGCCTAAAATGCATAACATCATCATAACAAGTGTGGGAGAGCCATGCTTCGGCACGAATGAGCCGGCTCGACCGGAGTGATACCACGGCCGAGCAGAAAACCGACGTGAAGCAACGCTTTCGTCGTGTGAGTGAAGTAACCGGAGGCCCAATTACCCTCCCCTTTCCCAATCTCCCCAATTCCTGAATCCCCAACGATCCTCAAACTCAATTCCCCAAAAGGCCGGTAACGCACTTGTAACGCCTCTGGTGTTCCAGGTGTCCATGTGCGATGCCGATGGCTTACCATCAGATCACATCACATCACACCTATTATCCGAAGGGGTAGGCAGAGGTGTACTTTACGGCACTTAATACCACTGTACAATGTAACACTTGTAACAATGTAACACTTGTAACAATGTAACACTTGTAACAATGTAACACTTGTAACAATGTAACACTTTTCACTATTTATGTTATGAGTCCCATGTAATAGGGGTGAGCCTATTTCCGTATACCGGGCACAATTCCAAACTCCGTGCTACTACTGAGATTTTTTGAAAACACCCAGTAATATTTTGCCCGATTCGGAAATCGAACCCGAGACCCCTTGCCCGGCAGTCGCACTTGCGACCATTCGGCCAACGAGGCAGCCTTGAGAAATAGATTCTGTTGCGCGTCCTGAAAGAACTACCTTCCTATGTTGAATCGATTCCGTCATTCAAGTTTCGCATTGGGCTCGTACACAGAACTGCGATGCGAAGTCGCATCGCAAAAATGTGCGAGTTCCCTCTACTCATCGCAAGTCTTTTTTTAAGGGGGGAAAATCATCGATAGACTGCTCCCGCCTGGGTGAAGCGGGAGGGAGTGTCAGACTCTTACTGACTAAAAACCACCTCGTTCCTACTCCTGCACATTGAGCCGGAGCCCCGGTAACCAGTTAGGTTCTCCGGGACATCGCAAGAACTTGCGAATTGATTCGCATCGCGCATCAAGATCTTATCTTCCCAAAATCTTCTTTGTTTCTTTTTCCTGTATCTCCTAAGCAATAACAGAAGTGCACACTTCTTTTTACGATCCATGTCACGATCTAGTTTTCAATTTAAAATACGTTTAGTACGGTTAACGGTCGTCGAAGGAATGGTCACCCTGGGAGACGCCTTGTCGCACGAAATCGCATCGCAGCAATTCGTGTCGTAATTTTTTGCGTTGCGAATTCGTTCAGTTTTACACATATCAATCTATACAAAACCAGTTTATCCTGGTGTCGCGTCGCATCATCTTTCCGCACATTTAACGTTCAGTTTATACTGGTTATGTAAAACTCGATGTGTAGCCGTGCGTAACATTTCTTTTTTAATTTCTTTTCCAGATGCCGATATCCTCAAGACATCTTTGATAGCGATCTTCGTAGTATCCTGCATAAGGAAGATCCTAGCAAATTAAATAATAATTAATATTAATAAAAACACAACGTATTCATTAAAATAATTATGGTTTGGTGACAATTATTATTCACGTTTTTTAAAACACATTGGAAAATCCGGGATTTGAAATTTGAATATTGGAATGTCATAATAGCCGTTCCATTTCGTTCTAGAATGTCCATTCTGTCAAATGAATTGGGTATTTTTTTAAATAAAAAATAAATTATTTCGACTGTTCAATACAATGAAATATTAAAAAATAATGACAATTTCATTAATTGATTTTATGACCAACTTAATTTTAGTATTTCTCCAGCATTTTTTTAAGAAATAAGTATGTTGTTTGACGCTAAAAAAACGTGACGTCACAATACACAATCTCGTACAAAATTCATTGAAAACTGTCGTTTTTGACAGTTCGTAAAAAGTATTGAATTTGACTAATTTATTTTTTAAATGCCAGATTTTCCAATCGTAGAATTTATATACAGGATTATAATAATAAATCACGGGTTTTAGATGTAATTTAAATTTTTAAATAAAAAGAGATATATGTGAAATTAAATTTTACAATAAAATAGTAAAAAGCTAAATTATGATTAATAATATTTGCGAATTTATTCATAATTTTATTAACACTCGACAAACGTTCAGTACAAAAATACACACTAATTTTAATAGCTTTTAAATAAAAAATACAATATAAAAAGTGCTTAGAATTAAAATTATTAAAATCAAACAATAAAAAGCGTCCATTAAAATGTAAGATTAATGTATAATAAAATAGATTTAATAAAAAAACATTTAAATTAAGATACATCTTAAAACAGTTTGACAAAATGAATATAATAAAGCTTTTATTATTATTAATTTCAAGTTTTGAATTACATAGTAATAATTTCATTTCTTATAATTATCATTAGAAATATATCTATAATCTATTAACAAATAAATACTCATAGTAAAATAACTCTAATTTCACACGTAGACGTGTTTGTTTCAGAAAATCATGCATTTAATTTTAAAAATATTATAGCTTGGCAAATAAGAGTTTGACGCGGTGATAGCGGTGTTTTAAGTGTGGGAGAGTCATGCTTCGGCACGAATGGGCCGGCTCGACCGGAGTGATACCAAACCGAGTAGAAAACTGACGTGCGAGTGAAGTCACTGGAAGCCCAATTACCCCCCCCCGCCCCCCCCCATTTCGCAATCACTCGTACAATCCTCAAACTACTAATCCCCAAAAGGCCGGTAACGCACTTGTAACGCCTCTGGTGTTTCAGGTGTCCATAGGCGACGCCGATTGCTTACCATCAGGTGCTCCGTCTGCTCGTTTACCGACTTATGTCATAAAAAAAGCTGAAACTAATATAGAATCACTCATAACCCATGAATAAACAATCATCCGAGTACAGTACCTCCTCTTTTTAAACTCGATAGAAATAACAAATATCATAACTGATTGAGTCGTAGTGTAGGTTGCCACAGGTACGATACTAGCGACATCTATTATTCCAAACTCTTTTTTTCCAAGCTATACATTTGTGTAAGTTTTAATGAAATAATCGTAATTATGTTAGTAAAACATCGTATTTTAAAGTGTAGAAGCATTTTTAGACTATGAATTATTAAGTAAATGTTTGCGAATTAATAAAGTGTTTAAAATATAATTTGTATTTTTATTACTATTATTTATTTTTTAATTGTTTTGATACCACTGACAAACGGCGAAGGAAAACGTCGTGAGGAAATATGGACTTGTAATTTTTTTAATAACTAGTTATAAGTGCAATGAGTAAGCATGGTGATTAATGCTTAAACCTTCTCCGTGTGAGAAGAGGTACTTACTATTACTACATAAAATCAGAAACTTGAGCTAAATCTTAAAAAAATTGGATGATTTGACCGCATTGTTATAAGTTGGAAAAAGCGCCATCTAGGATTACAGCTCTAACATACGTAGTTTACCAAACGTAGCATAGATGTCGTTGTAATACATAATTTAATTGTGCTGTTATAACTTTGCTATTAATAAAATTACATAATAATATTAATGTATTTACGTCATTTTCAAAATTGAGTAAGCAATATAATTATAATATAATTTAGAAAGTTTTATATAAGGAATTGTATATAAATCAAGCTAATCTTTGATTGCGAAATATGACTAAAGGAATTTAATTCACATCCTAAGAAAAACCTATGATCATATACCTAAAGACTTTTAACGATTAAAATCACAACTGCGACACATATGTTTGTATAAAATAGCCATTTATAACCAAATAGACAAAATAGATACTTTACTACGTATTTTTTGTCAAAAAGCGAAACGTGAATGACATAATTCATTAAAACTATGCGTATATTAATCAAAACAAATGACGCATTTTGTGAATGACGCCATCAGACGCCATATTTAAATCGTAATAGCGTGTTACATATAGATCCACAATTTCAGAGTTTCTCCTAGCTGGTTCCGTGGTGTAGTGGTTATCACATCTGCTTTACACGCAGAAGGCCGCCAGTTCGATCCTGGCCGGAATCATATCTTTTTGTCAGTTTAGTATATTTTATTCTTACTTTAAAAACGCATTTGTATGGCTTTTGACAATTCAAAATCATATTTAATGAAATTATAATTTTTCAATGACATTTTAAAACTTGAATTTCGGTCAAAAATTTATAATTTATAGTCGAATTTATTACGCCACACAATTTACAACGTGTTCTCATCATAAATAGAGCCCTCAGTTTGTGAGGAATTACAATTTAGCAACATGTTTATATATATATTTATATAATTATGTTACTGCAAAACTTCTAACTACAATAAAATGTAAAATGTACTAAAAATATCAAAACCTGTAGATTTTATTCGAATATGTAATAAAAATTAAACTATCTTTGAGATGGCAATTTATCTTATTCTTATACTATTATATAAAGCGGAAGAGTTTGTTTTTTTGTTTGTTTGTTTGAATGCGCTAATCTCCGCAACTACAAGTCTGATTTAAATAATTATTTTTGTATTGGATAGCGCATTTATCGAGAATGGCTTTAGGCTATAAAATATCACGCTACGACCAATAGGAGCTTAGCAGAGCGGGTGAAACTGCGCGCAAGTAGCTAATTTATTTATAATATGAATAGAACGGTACAAAAAATCATTTACACTACACAATATCTATATATATAAAATTCAAAGGTGATTGACTGACTGACTGATTGACTGACTGACATAGTGATCTATCAACGCACAGCCCAAACCGCTGGACAGATTGGGCTAAAATTTGGCATACAGATAGATGTTATGACGTAGGCATTCGCTAAGAAAGGATTTTGATAATTTCCACCCCCAAGGGGGTAAAAAAGGGGATGAAAGTTTGTATGAAACTTTGTCAGTTTTTAACTGATCGGGTTGAAATTTGGCATGCAGATAGATGTTATGAC